TCTAGCCCCAGGAACGAGCCCAGCGCCACGCACGGACCCGGGGCCTGCTGGCTGAGTAACTGCAGGTTGGAAAGCGCAGCCCCAAGTGCACAGAGGAAGCCAGTGTTTGGGGGAGCCCAGGCCCTGAGCAAGAGGAGGCAGAATTCACCCAGAGAACTTAACGCTCTTCTCATCTCATCTGGGAAAAACTTCGAATTCCCATGTAACTTTCTAAGCTTGGAATAGCTTAAATTGACTTTTTTAATCATTTATCCCTCTTCTCATTTCTCACTTCATGGTTTCTGAAGCTGCCAAGGTAGACTTTCTTTAATTACAATGATTTTTTTTTTTTTCTAGCACAGTTAATTTCTAAATTTAAAGTGTGTCCGTCTGGCTTAAAATTAACAAACGGGAAAAAAAATTATATTGTACCTCAAATTATAAATAGAATGCGTGTATGTGTGTGTGTGCGTGTTTTGGTTTTCTTCTGTTTTTTTTTTTTAAAGAAAAATAGTCATGTTCTAAATCCTATCATTTTGGAATAGAGCAATTGATAAAGTAATAATCTTTATTACATCCTAACCAGGCATGTTAGACTTTAGTTCTGTTTCTGTGGTGGTATGAGTACCACTGCATGATAAAAGTGCTTGTACACCTCTCTCTCTCCCCCCCTCAACCTCTCTGGGTATGTATATATTTAATATATTATATATGTATCATTTATTAATTTTTCAACTATTTATTGCTAATTAAATTTTAGCCTCTATGATACCTTTCAGAGATCCAATAATGAAGAAAACAAGAGTCCTTGAATTCGCTGATTTCACACTTTACTCATGGAGTCAGATAATCCAATATAGTTTTGATCAAATTGGAATTCATCTTATGAAAGGGAGATAAGGAATGCTCTGACTACATAATAGGAACGTCATATGTAGACTGGGAGCTCATAAGGAGTCAGTCTTGAGCAAAGACACGAAGCAGCAAGAGTTAGCTATTTTGGGACTTCTGAGAGAATATACACAGGCTCTGAGGTGAGCAATATCATGTCATCTTCAGGAAATAAAAGGTTAATATGAAATAGTGAGAAAAATAAGCCTGAATGAGGCTGTGACTGGAGGTAGGAAGCACCCATATTAGGCAGGGCCTTTTAGGTGCCTTTAAACTAAGAGCAAAAAGAAATCACTGAACCTTGTACACACTAAAGTGACATGGTTAGATATGCTTTAAGAAAAATTGTTCTGGCCCTGGCCGGTTTGGCTCAGTGGTTAGAGTGTCAGCCTGCAGACTGAAGGGTCCCGGGTTCAATTCTGACCAAGGGCATGTACCTCGGTTGCAGGCTCGATTCCTGACCCTGGTCAGGGCACATGTGGGAAGCAACCAATTGATGTCTCTCTCACATTGATGTTTCTCTCTCTCTCTCTCCCCTCCACTCTCTCTGAAAAGCTATGCACAGGCTTGGTGACTGAATGGGAGAGGGAGTGGGTGAGGGACAGAAAATATCACGGATGATTCTGAGGTTCCTGATTGGGCCTCAGATGTTGGCCCTTTTTCCAGCTGGAGGGGCCAAAGAGGAAATGGTTGTTGGTTGTGGAGTTGCCCACAACAAGTCTACCTTTTTGGGACTTAATGGATTTGCGATGCCCTGAGGCATCAAAATGGAAAAGCTAAGGAAGTAGACATATAAATCCAGAGGGTAGGTCTGGGCTGCAGATAAAATATATGACTCTTGTTTATAATGTACAATTCAAACCAAGAATACCTTTACTCGTTTATTTTCCTCCTAGATATAAAAAATATTCATTAGCCAGCATGGTTTATCTTATAGTAGCTAAACAGTGATTATTAACCACATAGTTTATCTCATCTAAACCAGAAATACTTGAGAATACTCGTGAAGGTCTCCTAATTCTGTTTCAGATGAAAAAGAAAGACAAGTCTGGCTCAGAAGCCAAATGCACTTGAGAGCAAACTCAATATGAGCCACTCTACGTACCAGTCAGTGGGAGGTTTATGGATGCTGCCCTGTGACCCCAACATAGGAGCAGAACTAGTCCTGCTGCATCTAAAAAAATTCACTTTCTTCCTTTTATGTAGAAATCGAGATCAATAATCCAACTGATAATTTTCTATTTACTGAAAGCAGTAAAACAATTAAATATCCAATTTAATAACCAACCAGCCTAAAAGATCACAAGAGTTCTATTGACAGCATTTGGCCCAGCCCCAGTCCATGGAAAAAAAAAAATGGCTTAAAGATTCAACATTTAGCCATATATTGCTTATAAATATATGCTATTCATCTCAAAATATTCCTATGACAGTTTTTACTATTCTATTGCTTTAGCATGATGTAAAAATAAATAGATACCTTCCTAATGTTTTATGATTAGGGAAATACATCCTACAAAATTAAAATTAATATAAATGACTGGAGTTTTGAAAGATTGTTGTGAATTATTGGGAAAGTCGATTTTAAGGGCTGCTTATATGCATCACTGTTTATCTCGAAACCCTTCAGTACAGCTATACGAAGGATGGCAATGACAAAGTATGGTCAAATTGACATCTAAACTTGTAATAGAGAAGTATGAAAAAAAAATTTCTGTGTCTTTTGTTTAAAAATCTCCTCTGTTTATCTAATTGACTTAAAAGGGAGAGAGGTTTCAGAGAAGAGGGGAAAAAAAGAGAGGAGAGAAAAGGAGAGAGCAGGAGAGACAAGGCAAGATTATGTAATAATTTTTAAAAGTCATGTGTGGAATTAAGTGCTATACTTTCTGATATACATGAGCCTGTGTTAAGAGGTAAAAAACCTTTAAATGAAAAGCAGTTGTGCTATATAGTACATATCATATACAGGGATAGGCAAAAGTAGCTTTACAGCTGTGAGTATGCAAAACACAGTTTACTCTTGTATTATTATTGTATTATTTTCCATACGAAAAACCATAAACCTACTTTTTCCCCACCCTGTACATGTACTTGTGACATGGGAATAATAAAATTCATTCTCAAAGGATTGCTCTCTAAAGACTAAGAAAGATAATTTATTTAAAAGTTTTTTGTATATTAAAAATAACTATGAAAATAAGATGCATTTTATCTTATAATATTATTTTCTCATATCATTTTTGCCAGGTACCAACCACTAATTCCTAACACCAATTTTCACCACTCAAAGTACACTTAAAACTTCAACTTCAAGGTTTTGTTTCATTTCGAGAACAGTAGTAAAGAAAAAAAAGTAAAGAGGAAATTAAATAATATATAACACATATAATATAAATTATATATGCATATATAAACTATATAATTTACAATTCACATATAATCCATATTTAATTAACGATTATTAAGTAACCAAGACGAGTTTTCTAAGAGTGAGTGAAATTGTTAGCGATGTTCTGGTAAATAAAACAGGAGGACATTTTTATTTAGAGATAAATGGAGTGAAAAAATGTGGCAGTTTGGAAAGATAATCAGAGAGAAAACATAATATGGATGGACAGATTGATGGCTGTATGGATAAAGAGTACATATTACTATACACTTATTCATATTACAGTATCATGGTCCAATTTCAGTTATCAAACATCAATATTCTGAATATCTTTAAAATAAACAGAAACGAATGTTGAACCTTAATATAATTAATAGGTACACACAAATGAAAATAACTTCCCAGGGAATAAGCTCTTTTTCCCACCAGTTATAGTATAAACATTAACATGTACTTGAATTTAAGGGAGGTTTCTGGGTTTCATGGCAAGAAAAATTCATTATTTCTAAATAGGCCAATGTTTGAAAATGTAGGACATTCAGTCTTTTCCCCCATTGATTTGACAGAGGCCCGAGAGCAAGTATATTGGAATCCACTAGAGGGAGCTGACGTGACTGTTAAGCTGTATTACCCACTTCCCTATCAGGAAAATGAACCCTCGGCACAAAGGACTTCGCAAAGAAAGAAAACATATGCGTTTATCCTTCACTTTACTCTCAGTTCATTCCACTACCTCACCAAAAACAAAAATAAAAACCTAGGAAAATGGGGAAAGCTTCATGTGTATCACTAGACTGACTGTACAAATGTTATGTGATAAATTCTTTCGATATTTACAAAAAAAGGCAATTTTTAAAAAGTGTTTTCCAACTAATTCCAATTTTAGTAGAAAATAAACATGTTTTTGTGCTTCTAATAACAAATTTGGGGAAGACATTTTAAAAATATTTTTATTGTAATGTCTTAAAATCCAGTTTTATCTATAATCCTTTTATCTGTGCATCCTTTATATGTATGTATGTGTATGCGAACCAAAACCTCACTAATGCTTAAAAGTGTTTATAAACCTGTCTGTCAAAGGGATTACTGCCTTAAAAAGTAAGCTGATGAGTAGGGATATTTTGGACCAGATACTATGTATTAATATCACAAGAGAAAATTGGTGAGAAACAAAAGAGACATCCTGTAAAACTTGCTACTCATATGGTAGACATTGGCACACTTTTTCCATTCTTGTGTTTCATCATTAAATGAGAAAAAGAGGATATTATATAATTAAAGTAAACCAATAGTAAGATGTAAGCCAAAGAGTAATTTATCATTCGCTGGGTTTCAGTCGCCACATGTATGCTACAGCTATAATAATCTTCATAGATATCTACAGAAGTATTAATAAGATACCCAGCTAAATATCCTATACATAAAGCAAACTGGATTTAATGGCAACCCACTAACAGGGCTTCACACGCTTTTTTATTTTCTTCTATATTAAAAAAAAATGTTTGATTGTAACAGTTACAACCCACTTCACAGTTATGAAATTATTATGGGGAAGGGGGAAAGAAATGGAAACGTAACATATATTTTCCAACAACAGTATTTCATTACTTGTTATACTACAGGTTGCAGGGAGGGGGGTTCCTTCCATAGAAATTATTCTTTGATGTCAGTTTGTTTCTTTTCTCGATAAATAAGTGATTTGTAAAATATCCAGTTAGTCATTTTAAGTATTTTTACTTACTTGTCTGTAGCTCTTTTTCTCGGGCCTGCACATCAGCAAGGACTTGGTTAAAATGATTTGTAAAGGCCACAAAGTCTGCATCCAGGAACATTGGCCCTTGTCCTTTCTCTTTCAGGGCTACGCTTTGAATTTTTAATCGCTCAATTTGAGGCTGAAGAGCTGACAGCCGGTTGACTTCATCCTGTACCATAATTTAGAGCATTAAAATAAATAACATTTTTCCTTTGCCAACATCACATTTCTGCAAAGGAAGGTGTTAAAAGGCACGGATGCAAGCTTAGCTTAATACCCTTATCAAAAAATTGATAAGAAACATCCATGATAACTTAGGCAAGCCTCTAGCACAGGTCATCAATTTAAGAATACTTCGGCTCTTCATTCAATAGATAACATCTTATATAACTACCTTTAAATTTCAAAATGACATCATTTAGAGCATTAATGGGCATGAATGTGTACAGGTGAAAAGGACTACGAATGATCTTACACAATTTCCATAAATCAAACATGCAGGTTCCTCTGCACCACTCTTATCTCAAAATTATGTGTCTTTGCTTTAAATTCTAAGTTCATTTCATGGACAATATTTTTTTCTTTAAATTCATTTGTGTAGATGATAAGTTATACAAATCTACATATATTTACATGCATACATTAAATCACAAATATATGTTTATATATTAATATTGCATCAATTACAATCAATGTAGTATTTATATACACACACATATTCATGTCTATAATTATCTATCTTTTGTATGGTCTCATTATTTCCCCTGACTAAACAGGCAATTACCATTGTTTTATTTAGGGTGACTGCTTTTCTCTTGTTGTCCTGGCATAATTATTAACACCAGCCCTTTCACTTTCAGGAGTACCCTGGTTTGAATGATAAAATCATACGGATAGTCTACTGTGCTGTCACATATAATAGCCACTAGTCGCATGTGGCTACTGAACACCCGAACTGTGCCAGTCCACAGCATCAAGGCGTGCTGCCATTGTAAAACACAATTTTGAAGACTCAGAATGAAAACATACAAATACAAACTCTCAAAAACAGTTTTAAATATTATTAAATCTTGAGATGATGATATTTTTGATATACTAGGTTAGATAAAATGCATTACTGAAATTCACTTAACCTGTTTCGTTTTTCCTTTTTAATGCCACTTCTAGAGAACATTTAAAATCGCATGTGTCTCAGGTTTACGGCTTGCACTGCATTTATTTTAAACAGTGCTGCTGTTGATATGTTTTTACACACTTTTGTTTCCAGAGGAGTAGTAATTCACATGTATCCGATACATATGTAAATTGAACTCAAACGAATTTTTAAAAGTATTTTAAAAGTATTATTACCATGATTGTTTACTTATAATCCATTCCTATGCCACCTTTAGAAAAAAGCACTTCAGGATTTTTTTTACCATTTAAAATGTAAAAGACAGGATAATTAAAAATTAAAAATTGGATCAGAAACCAATTAGAAGGAGGGGAAAATTGAAAGTATTACAGTAATTATGAACTAAATATAACACTGAGCTTCCTGGAACTCAAAGTGAAAAGTAAAAAAAAAAAGGTCTTACTTTTAGATGCATGCATAGTGTTTTGGAGAGAGTAACTTCTGTGTTAGGTCTGAATAAGACAAATTTATCAAACAGATCCTTTCATAGCAGCAAGATGGCCTAGTAGGCAACGCCGCCGATTCTGAGTTTTAGATGGTATGAGGATAACTTTCAGCGGAATGGTGGTATGTGGCTATAACAGTATGAGTTGACTCAGGTAGCATGATCTCTCACAATCAATTTCTTTCGGTAGGTGAAGGCGAGAGACATTTGATAAATGGGCAGATGACCCATCTCTCCCTTTCAAATATAAAGCCTCGTGATTAAGTTCTAGAAGGTAGGCGCACATCCACAGCGGGAGTATAAGACAAGAGGTCAAGGGTAGAGTTTAGAATTACAGACGTGCACTTTGCACTCCAGGCCTGCCCGTGGCGCCACTGACTCCTGCTGTGAAACATTTAGAAACTGGTTTACATTTGGCCAGATGGAGGACTGCCATTCTTCCCGTTTAGGGGGCTCTAGAAGGAGCCTACATTACAGTAAAGAGTGTTCTGCAAAACAAAGGGGACTTCGAAACTAATTAAACATTTGCACAACCGTTCAGTTAAGACCTTGAAGTTCTGAGAGTAAATCATAGGAGAGATCATTTCGACCTGAAGTAGTTCACATTGAAAAGATGTTAACAATTACACAGTTTTCCATAAAAGGGCCTTAGTGGGCTGGGTCCTTCAGAGGCAGGCGTCTTCCCTGATTCTGTTCATCCTTTAAAATTCTATGTTTATCTGAGGGCAAGAAAACTTTTGTAGCTTTCTCAGGAAAAGATCCATGGATTTCTTCCAATTCCCAAAGGGCTCTCTAGCCCGCTAACATATTAAGAACCAGTTCTGGCAAGTATTAGATTTTGAGCTGAATCTGCACTCTAATCTTAAAGAAAACATCTCCAAATAACAGAATGCATTGACAGACAGGATGGAATAATTTCTATACTATCATTAATCACAGCCAAATAGTATAATTTTAACTCTTGTGTGAATAACTTTGAGCTTGTCCTGCTCAATATCTTACCTAAGGTGATTCATCAGATTAACAGAAATCAATGGGGCAGAGAGAAGGGTATGGGGCGGTGACGAGGGATGGGGCTGTGCCATTAGATATCGAAACTTTGTGGCTGAATTTAGAAAAAGAAATGATTTCACTTAGGATGACTTCCCTAACCTTGAGAGGATATGTCAGATATACAACCTCCAGTGATCTCCATCTGCTCCTCAGATAAAGACCAAGGTCCTAACATGCCCCACGAGTCCTGGCTCTGTCTCCTACATGCCTGTCCTCTGCCTCCATCTTTCACCTTATGGCCCTGCCCCTCTATACCCAGCCTTCACACTGACCTTTCAGTTCCTTGGTCCTTACTGCTTCCCCCCACCATGTTCCTTCTGCCTGAAGCCTCTTGCCCAGCTGCTCTGACCTAATTTTGACTCATCCTAAAAGCCTCTACTTCAATGCACTGGCCTCAGGGAAGCTGCCCTTGGTGGCTCTGTCTAGGTCAGGTTTTGCCTGTTAGACATTCTCTCAGAACTCTCTACCTTTATGTAAGGCATTCGCCCCAGTGGTAATTTCACAGCCATTTATTTAATCACTTCTGTAATGTCTCTTTCCCCTACTCTAGGTAAACACTGTGAGGGCAGGGTCAGTGAAGGCTCAGTCCAGTTTTCCCAAAACTTAAGTGACCGCTGCCCCAGTGGGTCCTGGAGGTAGAACCACAGCCCCCACAGGATGGGAAGGCAGAGCATCAAGCCCAAGAGGAGGAATCTCGAGCCTTCGAATCCAATGGGATTTGCTTCCTAGTTCGGGGCCTTGCTTAGGGCCCGTCAGCCCTTCCCTGTTCCCTGTCCTACTCCCTTTTGGAATGGGAATGTCTGTCCTCTGCCCGCCCCACCACAGTATTATGGAAGCACATAAGCTATCTGGTTTCACAGGTTCATAGGAAAAGAATTTTGTCTCAGGATGAATCATACCTTGAGTCTCACCCACACCTGATTTAAATGATATTTAGATGTGACTTTGGACTTTAGAGGTGATGCTGGAATAAGTTCTGACATGTGGAAAAGATATGAAGGGGGGGCAGGGTCAGAATGCTATGGACTGAGTTATATCCCCGCAAATTTTTAAGACGATGCTCTAACCCACAATGTGACTATACTTGGTAACAGTGCTTTCAGAAGGGCATTTAAATGAGGTCAGAAGTGTGACGTTCTTATTTGATAGGATTAGCGGCCTTACAAGAAAGAGAGAGAGATTTGTCTCTCTCCTTCCCAGCACATGCACCGAGGAAAGGCCCTGTGAGGACTCGGTGAGAAGGCCGCTGTCACCAGAAGCTGGGCCTGCCACTCTTTTGGCACATGATTGGGTTTTGCTCTGAGCACATGCACTGTCATAAGAAAACCTCCAAGTTACTGGCCAGGTATCACTGGATACATGTGCTTCAATACTCCGAAACTGCCTCACCATTCTGCAAACTGACGAAATCAATGAGCCATGTGTAACTAACTACTCTAAAGACATTTTAAAAAAGATTCAGGCATCCATGTATCACCTATTTAAACTGCAATAAATCTAGTACCCAACTGGCATATCTGTAATTGAAAAAAAAGTAAAGTGATAGGAAAAAAATCAGGAAAAAAAGTGAATATATGCACTTTAAAAAAAAGTGATTTTCTTTGGTTATAGTTCGATCTTTACTATGTTTAACTAAATCCTTAATAGGGAATTTTTATTATTAAATAATTTGCTATTCTTCTGGAATTTGCCAAGAAATTCCTAATGTTCATGTTACGAATAGGAAAGATTCTTACCTTACACATTTTTAACTGGCTTTTAATCGCTGTGGGCTCTGAGGTGGCGGTGGGTTGGGTTTTCAACCAGTTGTCAGCAGTAGTTGTCATGTGCTCCAATTGCTGTAGCTGATTATAGAAAGTGACGATGCTGTTCTGATACTCCAGCCAGTTAAGTCTCTCACTTAACAACTGGCAGAACTCGGTCCACCGGCTGTTCAGTTGTTCTGAGGCTTGTTTGATGCTGTCAGCATTGACACCCTCTAGAAAGAAAGATTTTTAAAAGCTGTCCACTGAAGTCACAGACCGAAAGACATTATCTGAAGACCAATGTATCCCAAGTTTAAAAGTATTCATCACATGAGTGATTTCAAAGAAATCATTTATTTACTGATCAATAGGTAAAAAAACCAAGATGATTTCTGACTGAATGCAAATTATTAAGAGTTGCATCTTATAAAAAATATGAGTGTAACAAAATTATAAATAAGGACACATAACATGTAAAGAAGTAGAATATATTTAAATAAAAACATATATGGTCAAAGGTCTCATGGGGAGTGGGAGATTGATCATGGACAAATAACCTTTTGGATGTTTCCAATTAATGTTAAGTATCATGTATATTATTAAAATGTACCTCCAAAAACTAACTTATATTTTAGCTTTTTAAAATGGTTTGGAAATTAGTTGAAATGTTATTTGGCTTCTTTTAAGGAAAAGGGTGAGTATCAAAAATCAATAATTTTGCCCTGGGCAGGTAGCTCAGTTGGTTAGAGTGACATGCTGATATGCCAAGGTTGTGGGTTCAATCCCCGATCAGGGCACATACAAGAAGTAACCAATGTTTGCATGAATAAGTGGAACAACGAATTGATGTTTCTCTTTCTCTCAAATCAATCAATAAAAAAATATCAGTAATTCTGTTTCTGCTACAGAAAGCCAGAAATAAGCAGATTGTCTATATGGATCCAAAGAAGTAAAACAAGCACTAAGAAAAATAATCTTTCTAATATGAAAAAAGGTTTTCATATTATTTACATATCATTTACATATGTGGAAGTTGATCTGAAAGTTTTAAAATCATCTATAGCAACACCAAAGAGAGAAAAAAAAATCTACCAAGGACAAAATCTTAGAAACAAACACATCAGCACATTTAGCCTTCTGCGGACCCTACTATGTATTAGGAAATAAGCTGTCTTTTAATATGCATTAACTAATTTAAATTTTGTCATTCTCTAAAGTTACTTCACAAAATTTAAATGTTCTTGCACACAAACACATGCATGTGAATATATAGTAATGTCCTTAGTGAATTACATTATATAAGGATAAATATTAAACCTATGTAGCACAGATAACTGTCTTGTATTTTTGAAATGCTGAATTTTGAAGTTTGTTACTCCTAGACAGACCCATAGGCACCTCAAAAGGGGTCCTAAGCTCACTATCAGATTCTTCCTCTAGATTTCAGGGGTAAAGTGATTTAATGAAGACCAAGTTGTCTAGGAGAACCTACTTTTATGAATATTCATGTACTCAACAGAGTAAATATAAGTTAGTTGATAGGCAAGTAGGTTAGTAAAAAGTCTGAAGACCATCTCTAGCGAGCATAAGGCCTGTGGTGTTGCTACTTTGTGTATGTGCTTCACTCTTTCTAAAGATTAAAAACTATGGAATCAAATCCAACAGCTATATTATTTTATCCTACTTTCCTTTCCTATGCCCTGACACTCTAATTTTCACTTTGTTGCCATTGCTATACTGCCAATCCACAACTCTCAACTCATTTGAGACACAACTAACTTCACTAATTTCAAAGTTGGACACTACTGAGGATAATGCTGGAGAAAATAAACTTTGCAAATCTTACTGGCAACAACCTTTTCCTCCTTTGGCTGATACATTTTCAAAAAAAAAAAATAATTTTAAAAATAAAGAGTGAAAAGATAATATATGTACATCTCCATATATGCAGCTATGAGGCAGCCCATGGTTTGTAGGAGCTACATATTCTTCTAATACCCCCTCTAATAGTCAAAGAAAAAAATGGTTTCATTGAAACACCTGGACATGCTGTGTGATATTCTGTTTGTGATTGTTTAGTTTTGAGCAGTGACCAAGACTGCTACTCAAATATGTTTTGGGCAATGCCACAAAGTAACCATAGTTGTAAAAAGATCCTATTTGTTACCAAGTATAAAAGAAGAATCCAAAACTCCAGTCACATAGGTACTCATTGTGAGAAAAATATTACAATAAAAAGCTAACATTATTGCTGGAAAATGAAAGAAAATAATTTAAAAATACACAGGTGAGAATTTTGAAATTATGTTAGATTACGAATAAAAAATATGCCATGGATCTAAATGATCAGATGTTTAGGAGAAATATTTCCAGCACAGGTTAAATTTGAAAAAGCACTCAGGAGGCAGCCCATGGCAGCTCAAGTCCAAGACGGGTAAGAGAGGCTAAAGTGAGTTAAAGCGACTGGTGGGCTGCTGCTGGACTGAGTATTCACCCAACTGACAAGGGAATGCGAGAGAGATATCTCACTGCGCCAGACAGAGGCCAGCCATAAAGACCCCTAGCGTTTGGAAAAATAAAACCATTAGTTAATTTTCAGTATGAATAATAGACATGGTAATGTAATCAGCAAAATATAAATCAAGCTATAGTAAATTGACAAACTGAAAAGAAAAAAAAAACTATAATGAATTACCAATAGCTTCTGGGGTATCTATTAAAATGTAATGAGTCCTTGTTGATTGTTACCCCAAACTATCAGCTCAGTATGTTGTGCCCCCCAAAAATGTTCAGATGCTAAGCATCACTGTAAGAGGAATTAAAATAAATGAGAAAAGCGAACTTGTATAAATTAACTATGAAATATACAATACTCTCTACTTATTAGCTTGTTGGTTTTTATAATTGAATAAAGGCAATTAAAAGAAGGATCTCCATATTAAAAGAAATGGTGAAAGCAGACAGAGGCATATAGAAATTCATAGTAAGGGCTCTGGTGTTAGGTAGATCTGAGTTCAGATTTGACCCTCTTTACGAAATTGGTGAACTGGGTTCAGTTATTTAATCTCATTTTCCTCATCTATGAAATGAACATAAAAATAGAATTGATCTCAGAGGAGACCTATGAGGGCTCTGAAGCAACGTGTGAAGTGGTCACACAAACTCTGGCATATAGCAAGCAACCAACAGAGACCAGTCAATGATCATAGAAAGAACTAAAAAGGAACATGTAGGTAACAAGAAGAGAGACCAGATCTTCCACATGTTGAAATTGGGGGGTGGGGTCTTTTAATGGCCGAAAAGGGTCGTTTATAAAAATTAATGATTAATACTTTTTAAGTTAGTGTTATTTTTATACAGGATGGTGCTAATACGGGATATAAAAGTATATGTATAAATTTTTAAACAAATGTATCACTAAGTGATGCATTTATAAGTTTACTAGGGAGTCTTGGAATATTTGGTCATATACCTATAATCATGTTAAATTAAAGTTACAAAGGACATCCATGCCAAAAACTAAAAACAGAAATTTCTAGATGTCACTGGCACAGATATGATGTGGACCCCAGAGAATCAGACATCTCATTATGAAGTACTTGTATGTAAATAATGTACTAATTCATGTGTGAATATGCTTCCTGCTCAGCCAGAGTACAAACTGTCCTAAACTATAAACCCTTCTAAGAAAAATGGCTCCCCTGACAGTACCTGATAGAGTTCTGAGCTTAGAGCAGGTACAGAATAAATACACTCTACCTGTCAGCTCACCCAACACCAAATCAATAGCTTATTTCATACAAATACAAACATTCAGGGAGCAACATCCACAGATGCAAAAAGCCAAACACACACACACACACACACACACACGGTCTCTCTTGCTTCAAGTTTGCTCTAAAATACGTGGGGGAGGGAACAAAAGCACTGTTGCATGTCACATTACTTAATGTATATGTCTTAAACTAAAATTAAAAATGCCATTACTTTAGCTTCATGAATAAAATGACCACCTATTATCCAGTACTACTGATGATGTTATGCAAAAGTCCCTTAAAACTTCTGTACAATAAATAAGAATACTGTTTCAAATGCTCACAGGTTAATTCTTTCACTATTGGATATCTTTGTTTTATGTGTATTTCATAGAATTATTCTCAACGCAACTGAAAATTTAAAGCTCTATGACACTTTGCAAGTGTAAATATCTGCAAAGCTTTAAGTATCAATTATTTGAGCATCTGTTTTTCTAATTTTTTAGGAATACAAACACTAACTCACCAGGCGCTATGAACAATACTTCTGGAAACCGCTTTTGTAGCAGCACGTTAAAATCTCAGGGATAGTTGATCATAATCCATTCACATCTCATCTTCTAAACAACCCCTGAAATAGTCTATGAATAAATACATTGCACCCAGAGGAAATGGATCATTATTTGAAGTGCATCCATTAATTTTATTACTTGCATACAGTGCATAACAGACTGTTGGAACAGTTTTAATCGTGCACCACCTTGCACGCGAGGCCTTCAGAGCTGCCACTTCAAGTGAAGTGTCTCTCATCAAGTAGGTTCATCGTGAGCCAGGAAGCCAGGGTAGAATAATGGACACCTTTGTTTGCAGGGCTCTTGAATTAGAAGAAGATTTGGGATGAAACTTAAAATAAAGTTGCTAATAAAAAGTCACCGGCTCTCGTTGCATACTAAGTGAGGATCGTTACAACTTCATTGGCCATTCACCCTAACAGGCCAAAAAATAATAGAAATTTATTTGGGGTGCATGAAAATAAGCTCTGAGTATTACACACGAAATTCTAAAGGTTTCTTTGACCACACTTACTTTTATACAACTGCTACATCATGTTATTTTAAATAATACCTTTAAAAAATTAATAGATTTATGTAAAATTCACACCCCCAGTAAATTTAACACGTAAATTTGCTAATATATCTTTTCTATTTTATCTATTTCTTAACATTATTGGATTATAAGAGAAAAAGTCGGATTCTGACATGTTTTTATGACTAATTTTCTACAACAGTGACTATGACAGCTTCACTCTCTCTCTCTCTCTCTCTCTCTCTCACACACACACACACACACACACACACACTCTCGCAGAGTCTCTTCCTTTGGAGAAAAAGGTGTCTGTGGATTAACATTTATAGAGTGTGAACTCTGTGTGGACCATTATCCCATGCGTCCCGTGGAGAAACAGGAGACATAAATGAAACTGCCCAGAACTGAGGGAAGGAAATGGGTGAACTGGGGCGAACCGCTCGTTCACGGTGGAGGGGCCGGGCGACCGCAGATGGCACCGTTCCCGCGCCCCACTCATACGCGGGCCAAAGGCAGACCCTCTTCCCACTGAAACAGAGAAGCGGCACTGCAAACCCTCCATAACGAGTGTCTGGCTTTGAGGGGAGCCGAACTGACTATGAGCCCTGCTCTTGCCCATCTGACAAAATTTTGTTGCCCAAACTCAAATGGCATCATTCCTGTGAAGTACTTAATGACCCGCACAACAAAATACAAATAACACGGTTCAGTACTTAAATGTTATATATAAGAGGAGCTCTTGAGTGTGCGTTATCAGTCTGTGCTATTTAATTATGAGCCTTAGCAGACTTACTATTAGGCACCACCTTAAACACTATAATCTAACACTCAGGGGATGATGGTTTTCAGATGTTCTTTTACTAATAATTACCACTGGTATTTAAACACTTCCTTGGTATGATTTCTTCGGGCTCTTAATTAACACATAGAAAACTACAATTAGAAATTGAAAGAGAAGTGCAATTTAATGTAGAAAGCATCACTAACTCTATTAGATAATTATAGTATCTCTGGAAATTGTGATGAAACCATTTTACAATTTAAAGAAAGGGAAACTGAGCTATGCTTACATGTGTGTTAAAATGAATGTTTTCATATTAATACAGGAAAACAATCTAAATCAGGTTTTTTGTTATACCTGAACTTGAGAATGTACATATATGTGTATGTATATATATACACACATATATATGCAAGAACATTATTTTATAAAAATAATTCAGAATAAGTTTGAATAATTATTTTACACTATATTGTGTTTAAATAAATTTAAAAATAAACCTTAGAAAAGGTCATGTGTATCCTTTTAAAAAAATGAAATTTAAACAAAATTGGAAATTCCCTTCTCAGTGTAACATAGCTACAGGAAACATAATTAGATCACTAGGTACCCGATTTAGTCTCCCGCTTACTCTCCTTAAAGTTCTAGGAAGCGAACAATTTCTTGAGAGTAAAGCTATTATACTAATCTGATATACTGACAATAAGATTCATAAAGATTCTGTGAGAAATTTCTCTAATATGAAGAGGTTCTCTTTACCTCCAACACTATGTCAAGCTGCTTCCCATACTTATCCGATCAACTGATGCTGACATAGGAACAGCAAATTAATGCTAGTTCAAAAAATATAGTTAAGAAATAGATAAATCAGTTAAAAATTATACCAAAATTCTCTGTCAAAACCCCAAAACTATTATTTTTTAGTTAACTCTGTTAGCAGCATTGCAGCCACTCTTTAGAGGCTATTTTGATCATAAAGATCACTTACACTTTCTAAAAGAACTGGGACATCCATAAGAAAATTGTGCATGTATAGGTTTGAAGTATGCAAATAATTTATGCAACCTCCTTTCTTTGGTTTAAGGTTCCAAGAAAATTAATAAAAATCTCTTACTGAATCTCTGCATATTCTTCAAGTATAAATCATTCTACTTTAAAATTCACAATGAAATTCAAAATATAGTTAATATTAAAATTTGCATTATATTAAATATTAACTGTATTTTAATATTCTGCATATAACTCTGCATCTGATAAGGTGCAGCAAAGTGCAAATTATCTTCAAATTGATCATAACTTCTATGTGACTGTGCAAAACTGAACACGTGTTACGAGAAGTAGCGTTTTCAGGACGTACAACTGATTTTTAATAAAACTTAGCAACATCAAATGAAAGTTACTTCTACGATGGCATCATGGTAATCTTTGCACTTTTAACAATCTTAAGACCCCAGCACCTATCTCAAATTCTTTCAAAAAACTGTCTTTGGGATGAACAGATTTTGTTTCCTGCATTTGTTAAGTGGTACTAAAAATTCATTCTTTCAGTAGATATTTAGAAATGGTCAAAAGTGATTTGTAAATATGTCTGATGTACCATTTGGGGTCAAGAGTTCCAAAATTATTCTAGATATTTTAGAAAAGTACTCTGATCTTATAGTAAATTATTTTAAGTAGAAATTTTAGTATTCTATGTATGTATGTATACATATGAAATATAGTTCATAAAATGTTTCCTTTAAAACATAATAGCTATACTTATGCTATTCTTCATACATATTTTTACACTGAGTATATTTAAATGTTATCATATTATAACATACACAAAATGTATACATATTTGTATTAGCTGTAGAACATTTATAGCATTGTACAATAATGATTTGCCTTTATCTTAATTTTTGAAAATAAGATATGCGATGTGGTTAGAAGGAACAGACGTTGACATGAGGCCTTAAATGAAGTACCATGATTCAGCTGTCCTTTTCCTTTCTATAAATAAAGAAACAAGAATATAGGCGCCGCCTGGCCGGTGTGGCTCAGGGGTTGAGCCTTGACCTAGGATCCAGGAGATCGTGGTTCGATTCCCGGTCAGGGCACAGGCCCGGGTTGCGGGCTCGATCCCCAGCAGGGGGCGTGCAGGAGGCAGCCGATCAATGACTCTCATCATTGATGTTTCTCCCTCTCTCTCTCCCTTCCTCTCTCTGAAATCAATAAAGATATATTTTTTAAAAAAACACAAAGAATATAGGTGTCTATTATGGTTATGAGTTTTATGATAATTCCCAAACATGAGAAAGGAAATTGTGGGCTTGTAAATTTAAGAGCTTTACTAAGCTAACTGTTGGGAAGCCTGGTTTAGAGCAGCCTCAGTTTCTTTCAGCTTCTTGAGCCTCAGCAGTAAACTCCAGTTCCTGGCTCCCTGCTGGTGGAGCCACTGTAAATTAGGGTCAGGGGTCCCTGTGAAGTATACCTGGAGAGGTACCCAGGCACTTACGGTGTGTCTGGCTTAACCCACAATTTGCACAAATTAAGTATTATGCAACTTGTTCTGTGAAGGGCCACAAACACAAAGGAACAAAAAGAGAAGTTAGAATCTTTGAGTCTACTTTTTAGTAATTATGTAAATTATTTGATTGAATGGAGCAGCAGAGCTGTGCTCTAGTTAAAGCCTGAATTTGAGCCTAAACACCTATCAGTTAGGCATTGTCTTTGTTGGCATAACAAGTAAGCTTAAAGTTTGATGAATATAGTAAATCGATGAAGACTGTCTCAAGTGAAGCCCCTACCCCTTATTGCTCTGCACTTTCTACACAAGTTAGCATTTTCCTTCAGAAGTATTATTATTTTCTACCAAAATTACCAATGTAATCGTCTCAATTACTTCCTTAAGTTTGCTTTGCTACACAGACTTTAATCAGTCAATTAATATTTATTAAGAACCTAGTATATGTTCTGACTTTTCTTCATGCCTCAAAAAATTAGAGCTATGAGGGCAATAATCTAGAAAATGATGTTAGTACTAATCACATGATCATTTTAATCCCAGCAGTTTCAATTATAAAAAAAAAAATCTAATTATAACTGATTTTTAAAGAATTCAGAGTATGCCACTCTCAGATGGTCTGAGGTAAGGTATGCTTGATATTTGATAATAAAATGAGACTACTTAAAAGTGTATTATTTTACATCAGCTTATAAAAATAAAAAAGTGATCATATAGGTCCTAGGGGGAAATTATATAACAGCTAGAAGAAAAAATTTTAGATCATATAATTTATTTAACATTAATATGCTGTTGTTAAACTTATCAGTTAAACCACCTAGCAACATGTACCTAAATGACACCCTTTTAATATTTTGCATTAACTTTGAACCAATCCTCAGCTGTCATTTCGCTTGTTTTTATTTTTAACCAAATAAAGTCTTGGGGCTAATCAGGCAAAGTGAATTGATTTCCTAGGACGATCATTGAACTTTTTAATGCCAACATGGCAATTAAAGCAAAAACTAATTCATACACAGAATTCATGCTCTAGAATGTAGGCAGGTTCTGGAAAAAGCTGACATGCATGACAGAAACACTTGTTGCATCTGGTTATGATAGTTTTATAAACGTATCTTTTGAAACTGGAAAAAAAAAATCTTGTTTGGAAATAGTATTATCCCTGATTTTCATAAATTACTTATATCTGGAAATGAACACAGGAGAAGACAATGACAATTCAAAAGACCATTCACAATTGATATCAATAACACATTTGTGTGGACAGCTTTGTATTAGTAAAGATTAATTTTAACCCATTCTTAAAAAGAAAAACAATGTTTTGCGAGCTTTGTACTTTCACCTCACTCGAAAAAAGTTAAAATTAAAAAAATAAAAGTTCCCCTTAGGAGACATTTTTAAAATGACTGAAAAAAATGAAAAGCAACATAACAAATGTCAAGGATATTATTAGCAACCAAATATGCTGATGAAACCTTCCACATAATACAAGTCAGTATGGAAAAATATATTGCGAGAATGATTTAAAATCAGATTATAATCACTTTACATATATTATATGATTGCTTATATTTTCCATTATTTCTGCAAACTTTATGTTCTTAAATTATTTGGACAAATGCTAGCAGGATTTGCATTAAAATTAATTTCTCTGCAACAGATTGATAAAATATTCCACCACATCCCATTTTCTTTCATTGGACACAAAGATGAATTTCCTCTAATAATTTCTTTAGCATTAAGAAAAACCCCAAAAAGCTCAAAAGCTCACTTTAATTTAAATGTGCATTCAGGGAGTGCTTGTCTGATATAATTCAGCTGATAAATATGAACCTATATGTTTATCAAATCCCTAAGAAGATTATCTAAATCAACTCCGTGTAATTACCATTCACCATCTGTTCCGCCAGGGCCTGAGCTGATCTGCTGGCATCTTGTAGTTTTCTGAACTTCTCGGCTTTTTCTCGCTCTATGGCCTGCAGCATGACAGCAAAGGTGAGGATTTCAGTACGAGGATTGTGTAGCTACACAGTAATTATAACTTCTACTTGCCCTTTCAAGCCTTAAGATATTTCACTCTGTCAGCTTATCATGTGAATGTAAAGATCTGTTCTCAAGTTTCTTGGCACCAGAAGCATCAATATGGCAAGGAAAGCGCAAGCCATTTTCACACTGAATTGCTACTTTTTTTAATAAGATTTCTACTCATAACTCTTGTTTACATACTAGTTTCTCAGGCATTGCAATGAAAGGCTGCAAAAAAGGAAAAAAGAACCACAGTGGCAAATTATAACAAACAGTGAAAAGATAAAGTGTCAGATAATTAAAATGGAATTTGTCTTTTAGATATACACCACTGAAATTACTCCTCATAACCAAAGTATATATTCTGTAATAAAGATCAAGTCGAAAATCCATAAGTATATACAAGAGGAAAAAGTATCCCAGCATAACTAATTTAGAAAAAACACATTTATCTCAATACAAAACTGTGGATGAATTTTTCTCTCTAAAAACAGATTCAGTTTCAAAAAGTCTTCTAAATTTCTTTGTTCATTTCTGCCAACCAGGGTTAAGTTTTGAAGAGCAAAAACACATTGAAATTACCCAAAACCAGTATTCACTACTGTTGTGTTTGGCTAATAATGTTTCTTAGCTAATAATGTTTCTACAGAGACTTAAATTTTAAACCATGATTCAGAACTATCTTACTATGGTCATTAAAAAGATGTGGCTATAGCAATATATACGTCCTAAAACATAAGTATCTGCAGAAAAAGCAAGCTATAATGTATTCAACATATCGTAAAAGCAATACTTCTGTGATTAATAATAACATTATCCAAAGATTTCACTTGAGTCTGTGGCAAGAGGCTATTCTACATGAGACTATTTTTCAAAACTTTATTCAGGTTGGTAGGCATTTAAGCAAATATTCCAAGGTATAATACTGGGGTGCATACAGATGTGAGATCACATAATACGTACATGCACACTCTGCTCAGTAGAACTTCCTGCAAAGATGGAAATACCCTGTATCTACACAGTCCAGTCCAGCAGCCACTAGCCACATGTGGATACCGAGCACATGCAATGTGGCAAATGAGAGCGCGGAAATGAATTTGAAATTCTATTTTATTTAAATTTAAAAGGTCACATGTGTCAAGTGTCAATTTTACAGTGCAGATCTAGCATCCTCCATTTGGAAGTAAACAGTTAAAGACAGACAGCAGGTAAACAGTGATAAATATAGATGTAGATAATAGGGCAACATCAGGAATACATCCAGAGAAGAGCAAATGTTTGCAATATTTCAAAAGATTCTCCAATTTAAAGAATAGCCACAATTGAATATAGGCTTTGCAAACTTATTTTAAAATGAGTTTCATGAACTAGGATTACTGGATTCAAGGTCAAGAGTACAAAAGGCTAAAAGTGTTGAGCTCTGTCGGGCATGGCTCAGCAGCTGAGCATAGACCTAGGATCCAGGCGATCGGGGTTCGATTCTCAGTCAGGGCACAGGCCCAGGTTGCGGGCTCAATCCCCAGCAGGGGGCGTGCAGGAGGCAGCCGATCAATGACTCTCATCATTGATGTTTCTCTCTCTCTCTCCCTTCCCCTCTCTGAAATCAATTAAAACATATTTATAAATAAATAAATGAGTCAATAGAAAATAGAATATATCTAATCAGGAAAAAATATAATACACAATAAATATACTAATTAAAATTAATTAATTAAGCAGAATAAATGATGAGTGAAATAAAACACTATAAAATGACAGTCTTGTTTAAAGTATTTATAACTTAGCTGGAAAATACACATTTTATACTATGCTGTCAAGGGCAGCAAATGAAAACTCAGATTCATCTCATCAGTGGGGAAATCCCAAAGGCAATAGACTCATACCAATGTCTTGGATTCTACTTGAAAATTTCAAAGCGCGCACACTCTGGTGTTTGGGGATTATATGCAACCCGCACCCCATACCAACTAGCAGGTGAAACTTCTGGGTTACCTTGAAAGTCATTTTCACACAGAAATTACTGAATTGTTTACACAAGCATGTGGACAACCATGGAAGGTTCTAGCTTGATAGCTGAATTAACAAGTCCATGAGAATATAAAGTAGCCACAGCATCTTACTGGAGGTGAGAACCTAGGTGAAGCTACCAAATTCACATTTTCTCAACTCTCAGCTTTTGTCTTCTAAATTCTGTCCTTAACAGCTTAGCAGCTCATGTGTTCTCCAACACTTTAAGTTTGTTGTCCATTAAAAGGTAAATTCTATTTCTAAAGGACTCTGAGTACTTAGGAAAAATAAGCGCATTCCAACTAAACACATAATATTCACAACTATCAAGAGTTACAGCAGGATTGGGGGTGTCCCAAATTTGAACTATATCATAAAAAATAAGTAAATAAAAGAGAGAGAGGAAAGAAAAAATACACTGTAACAAAACAATAAGAACAGTGACAAAAACTGCTGTTCTCTGAGTTAAACAGTTTTAGACTCATCCTTTCCTATCAAAGTGGTTTCTAGTTTATCCAAACTGAGTTTTTTTAAAACATGAAATTATATAAAGAGTACAATAAAAAAGCCATGTTGTCTTCATAAATGATGAACAGAAATTATTAATGGCCGTCTAAATGTCATGATCATAATCTCTTTATTCTAAGAATTAAATGGAATAATCAATTTGTACTAACAAATAATAGCAATAACAACCACCACCACAACACAACAATAATCTAAGAAGTAGGTGCTACCACTCTCCCAATTTGACAGAAGAAAGTGAGACAACAGAAAGAGTTGTGGGTATTTGAAAACAGTGACATAGCCGTGATAAAAATGGAGTTCCTTATACTGTCTACCAAGTCACAGTTTATGTACATTGTTTCATATGTATGTCATAATAATTCTGCCACATAGAAGGAACCAGCATTATGTTATCGTATTTCATACAAGAGAAAACTGAGCATCAATAAGATTGTCATGTGTCCAAGATCTTAGAAGTAGCAAGTTTTAGATGCAATATTAGAACTTATCATCTATTTATAAGTTCGGCTCTCTTTCAAATATACGCTGCTGCTTCTAGCAGAATTTCAATGGAAATTTATCAAACAGATTTGAACATATCTGACTACAACTCACAGCCAAGATGACTTGATAGTTTGAATGTAGTCAGGAATAATATTCAAAATATTTAACCGTTAATGCATCATGGGCACCAAATCAGAAGGAATGCCTGGTCACTTAGAATGGATACTGACCATCTATAAGCTGACTGGCAACTCTGTGTACAGCTCAATTACTATCGCCCATTGCGAGATGTATGTTATATGCAAACTGAGTAACTGGTGCATAAATAGAGAACAGACCCAAGGAAGAAGCAGTTATTGGCCTCCGCATAGTGGTCAATGTTTGCTAGCTGAGTTCTGTTAAGTAACATCACATTAAAGACAGCGAAGAGTCCAGAAAACATTTCATTTCAGACACAGCTATAGATGGTTGATTTCAAATGAGAAAATATAGGGAAGCAAGGAGACATTCAAGAAGGTAATGAAAAGTGTTGGGGTCACACTGCTCTCAGTTGGTTTGAGTTCTGTCTCTGCTGCCTACCACCTGTTTTGACATTCAGAAAGTGATTCTGCCTTTCTAAGCCTCAAAATATTCTATGTAAAATAACAATAAAGATACCTGCCCTCCAGGGATCCTGAGGGCGTTAGAGAAGGCTCTCTATATAATTTATTCCCCAAATTTGGGCAATTTTTATAGTAAAATGGGAAGTTAGAAATAACTGAGCTGGGACAAACGGAATGACATAAACTGAGAATGTCCCAAAGTAGCATATGTGGTCACTCTACAAAAGGTGATCCCAATAATCTTCAAAACAAGCTTAGGAAAAACTGGCACCAGGTCGGCTAGAGCACCTGGCTCAAAGAAATGCATGAGAAGTTTCAAAAATACATGTATAAAGAGTGGCGAAGAAGCTGATTTACAGACATCACTGAAAGTCCCCTTTTCCTGGATCTGGCCGTACATGCATTTGCTCTCAAATGAAATAGATAACTTTGGTTTTAAAATAGGTTAGGTTAGTAGTTCCTAATGCTTCTATCTTCTCTCATTTTCTCAAAGAAATATCTGTAAAACTACAGAGAAAGTAAAAGAAATACAACCACCAAAAACTAAGTCTAGAGAGAAATATGGTTCTGGAAAAGGGAGCGCGTATCCCTTACTCTAAAGAATCCTGTGCCACCAAGGAGAAAACCTGGCCTCCCACAGGTCTATCTTGCAAAGTAAAAACTGGCCCCGTTAAAAAAGAAAAGAAACCACCCCCCACACCTATTCCCTTACTCGGTTCCATCAAAACTGTTACTATTAATGTCACCATTAGCCTCCATGCTACCACATTCAATGGCCGATTCTCAGGCCTTAGCTTTCTTTACTTTCACTCAAAGGGTACGTCTTCGAAATATGTCTTAATTTGGCTCTCTTGACTATAAGCACAAAGAGTTTTCCTCCTACCTCAAAAACTGCCTTCACTCCACCTCCTTCGCGGGTTCCTCCTCAGCTCCCCGACCTCTCCAGCTAGTGTCCGAGGGCTCGATATGCATTTCCATTGGTTCAAGTCAAAACCTTGGAATCCTTCCTGACTCTTCTTTCTCTCAAACCCACACTTAATCCAGCAGAAAATCCTCTCGGCTCGAACCTCCAAGCGCATCCAGAAAGTTATGATTACTGTGTTCACTGCTGCCACGCTGGTCAAGAGACCCCTCATCTCTCAGGGATCTGGGTGTCGCAAAATAACCTACTAAATGGTATTTCTACTTCTGCCTTTGCTCCCTGATGACATATTCTGCACACAGCAGGCAGGGGAAGTCAGACACAGGAGCGGTCAGCTCACTTCTCCAATAACCTCGCCTCTCACCCTGAGTAAAGGCCCAAGTTCTAACCATGGCCCACCTGCCCTTCG